AGTATCAAAGTCTAAAATTATATTTTATGAACAGCTATAAACGCAACTAGTGAAATACACATGCATACATTTAATCTTAAGCACTCTACGGATGACCAAGCAAAGGGAAAGACTTTGGGCAATAACTCACAATGCTATATCATTTCCTAAGTCGTCCTAAATCATGGAAGAATTGTACAGCGTTCCAGTCTAAACTTGAGATAAAGGGGGTTATGTACAAACTATCTGTAAGGAAAACAGAATGTGAATACTCTACATTGAAATTTTATGTTACATTTATTAATATTGTGTTTTTTATTTTTTATTATTGACTAATCATTTTACAACTTTGTTGTTCAACATAAACTTTTATTTTTTAATCCTTCACCCCCCAAAAAAGGTACGTATCCAACATGTTGTGTGAGTATTGTTTTTGAAGCTTTTGATTAACAGCTATTCATATACTATTTTACATGTCTTATTTTATAAAAAAAAAAAAAACAATTAATCCTAGCTATTTATATTATTAATATATTTTTATAATTTATATAATATAATGTTTTGTTGGAAAATGGAAACGTTTTAACGTTTCACATATTGAAAATTATATTCAAAATACATCGAGTATAGGTACTGAACGAAATTCTACATAAAGAAACAAATAATCAATATTATATCTAGTTTATTGCATTAAAAATCCATTTAAATGTCTTCCATTGAATAAATTTATACCTAATTAAAACGTTTATTCACGAAACAAAGAAGATTCAAATTAAATTTAGAGAAATAAACTATTGAACTGTACTTAAATAATCAGCACTACGTCAATTATAAGTAAATTTTTAAGATTTAATTTTATTTGACGTTTTTTTAAATTATTATTACTATACTTTTTTGATTTTACTCGAAATAACAACATTTAAATATGTAAATAAGAAGTACAGAAAAAAATCATAACAAAAAAAAAAATCAAATAGTGGAACATATTATACGAATGTCTATGTCAAGATATTGTTGTTTTGACTGTCGGCTGGAGCTGATGTTAAGAGTGTGCCAAAAAATGCTTTGGCTAACCATAAACAGATGAAGAGAGAATGTTTTTTTTATGTCTGGGTTGTTTTGAGTATTGTATGACTAGATGGTTCTATTTCAGATCGCAAATCGGTGTCTTGAATGTGGGTTTTAAAATAATAAGTTTATCCGAGTACTTAAAATATTACATAATAAAGCATATATTATTGAGTTAACTAAAACGTTTTTATTTAAATATACTAAATTATTTTAATTGAATTAGAAAAGTATCAAAGATAGTTTACCAACACAACTCTATAGTAATAAATTCCATAGTATTCTTAACTGTAAAGCTAACTGTATTTTGTATAATTATTCAGTTTTAATCAACATTAAAATAAGCAAAATTTATAATTAGCAAATTTTATGAAAGAAAAGTAAACATTACATTAAATTATTGTTTGTAATTAAAAGAACAAGTAACACAAAAGTGTATGTATATAATACATATTACATATAGGTACTTAATGTATATACTGTGTAGTGTTGTACCTAAATCACGTACCATACACTATAGAGTATGTAACTAGTTATAACTTTTAACTAGTTATTTTATTTCACAATTTTACAATTTAAATTAATACAATTTGTTTTTTATGAAAGTATTAGTACTTATTTAGTATTTATTAATTTGGAAAATAAGAATAAATATTATTAGTTTTTGCTGTAAAAACAAACGGTTATAACATATTATGCAAAGTAATCCTATTCGCCCTATCACAGACGTTGCACGTAACAGATAACCGTAAAAAATCAACAAAAAACAACATTGCTATGAAGTGAAAACTAGACGCTCGTTAAATTTAGTACCTTGTTTAATGATATTTATTTTATTAGGAATTTAAACGATTTAACGAGAAGGATGGAGCATACAACTCTACAAACCCCCTGGAAAACGGCGATAGCGTTAAAATATCATGCGTTACATTATTATGCGGTGACATAATAACAATGATAATTATTATAATTAATATTATGAATTCTGACTATGACATTATATAGGGCGAAACTTTCGGCAACAATTAACTTGAACCGTGCTTTCGCAAATAAAACATTTTCAACGGTCCACCAAAAAAGATCCTATGAATATTCATTCCGAACGATTGTAATTAAAAATGCCTTTTCCGTACGCCTTTTTTCTTCTGTTGTTAACCGTTCGATTAGAATGCAAACGCTTGGATATAAAACCATTTAGGGAACTGTAAATTTATGTGCCTGCCTTTGTTGTTGTCACGTGTTGGGTATTTTAAAATGTTCGTAATCCTTTTATTTATTTTTTTTCGTTTTCGGTCTTTAGGGATTTTTTAGTATTTACCCAATCGGGTAACCGAACGCCGTTGGATTGTTTATTTATTTTTTTTTTTTTACTATATGAAATCAGAGCCACGTGATGTTCTTAAGTATTTATATACAATATATATTATAATTAATCAATTGTGTAATTCGGTTTGTTTTATGTTCCTCGAATATTTACCGACTAGAGGCCGTGCTTATACATTTATAGCTGGAGTAACTAAATAAATAGTTGGACCAACTATAGCCAACATTTAATACGTCGAACTAAATGTACATATAGTTGCTTTGACTTAACATCTAGTTGGTTCAACTATTTATTTAGTTATTCCAACTACAATACATTTTCCCTGTGATACTGTTTTACAATGGTATGTTTTAACTTTTGTTTCTGGACCAACAATATCTACTAAACCTCTAGACCGATTTCTTCTTCAAATAGCAAGTCAATCTATTGATCAGATATATCTTAGGTAGGTAATCCCGTTTGGCCACAATCGTTATGAATACGGTACGACATCATTTATGACTTTTTTTCATACGCATATTTGGTAAAGACGAACCCGTATACTGTTGATGTAATCTTATTCTCTAGGCATTCAATTGCGCTTGCATCTCAAAACGTGTCCTGCACATATAAGTGCTATTTACAAGGAATATAATAAAAATAAACGGACAGTTAGCCGTTAACGGCCGTGTTCGCAAACCTTATTTTAATATAAATGCGCTATAAAGTGACTTTAAGGGAGTAACCGACCGAGCGGACTGTGATAAAAATGTTAACGCACCGATAGAGACAGACGGCTGTGGTGCAAATGTTTTTTAATAGTCGGTTGTATGCACCATAAGGCACGGTGTCGTTTGAGACAAACGTTGGGCAGGCTTGTCGTTATTTCCAAACTTGATGAGATGTAATTAGATACACAACGACACGCAATATGCATACTACTACTACTACTATTATTATTATTATTGTTATATTATACACGGTCGTGCTATGCCGACCGTTTCAGGGGCGGTCTTTGTAATTATTGTTCCCAAATAATGGTTTTCATGTCCGACGGTAACAGCTAGGCAGAATTGCCATTTTAATGGCGAGTATAGTATTAATTTCCGAGTGATTAACGACCTTTGCGTGGTCGTTTCCATACAGACAACCACCCGCTACTCCCTCTCGGTCGAGGCCTATTTAAAACAAGCGTTTTAAACGCACTTGTACTCGTCTCATATAGGCGGCCGATCAAAAGCTTTACCCGGCCGTCAGGTCGGAAAATATGATTTTTTCAAGGTACATTGACTGAAGAAATGCATTGATTTTATAGGTTTTTTTTCCGACCAATATTTCGGAATTCGGCAGAGTTTTCCAATAGCGGTGAAACCAACGAAAATGTTTTCTATTTTCAGCCCTGCGAAATAAAAATGAGTCTGTTTAATTTTAACGTAAGAGTATTTACATACCTAAACACACGCGAATTTGCAGTACAAAGAAATTATTATTTTATGGTTCCTAGTAATTTCGCCAGTATATTTTATAGGGACGGTTACTTACAACTCCCGTTAAGTCGTGGGAGTCTATATATATTTATATACAGACTACCAATATAAGTTTTCTTGAATCCCTGAAGTATTAAACTCCCACGGGCCACGAAGACATATTATACTATAGTTAGCCGTTCAAAATTATCACCAGGAATAAAATTTCAAAATGATTGTTCTTCTCTATTTACTTTGCTTGCAAAACCGGTCGAAATAAGGATTTTTTTTATTTTACATCTTTACCCACAATACAGGCCCTGTGTTTCTTAATCGATTAAAATTGAAATTATCAAATACATTATATTCAATGTAACCTTGTACTCTTGTAATTGGATAAATGAACATCATTGAATAGGTTTTTGTTAAAAAATTATAAAATAGTTGAATATAAACGTGCATACAAGTGAAACGAAAGTGTGATGAATTTTAGCTAATATAAAAATTGTTTTTTTTTAAAATTATATATTTATAATTTATTCGACTAATTTAATTGTTCGATACTAAAGATTTCAATAATGTTTGTTAGTTCACTAACTAGTCAACTAACTATACATATACTATGTAATTAATGATAGATAATTCATTTATACTAAAGTTATAACTTGTAATAGTTTTTTTCCACTTTGGTTCTAATTAATTTTTTTCAATCAGCCTGAAGTTTTATTTTTACTCGATAGATATGACTTGAATATATTTTATTAATTTTATAATATGTATATAGCGTGTATTTAGCACCAATAAAAAGAAGAAAATTATTGATACAACATAATATGAGAGGAACCATTTTAGTTTTTACCGTGCACGTAACTTTACAAAATAACTTTATAAATATAAAAGCCAAACTGGAATCCGATAAAACCCGAAAGATTTCATACTTATACCTGCGATAACTGTGGAACCTTTGAGCTGTAAATAATTCTTATTGAACGGATGCTGTCATATATATATGCTTCTAATCGCCAGTGAACAGACTTTAGAAAAATAAGCGGATTTTTGTTTTTCACGGCACAATTGATGTTCAATCCACTAAACGTGGCCGCCCAAGTTATTCGTTATTTCTGTCAGCTTTTCTTTTTCAGTTCGGTACAAATGTTCGATTATTGTTTTTTTTTTTTTTCAAGAAAGAGAATGTGACGAACTTCCCCATCCGGAACACGGCCAAGTCATCATGACAGGAAGACTTTTTAGCGACAAGGCCACGTACACCTGTGAGTTGGGATACCAACTGATCGGTCGAGATCATAGAATATGTCACGCTTCCGGTTCGTGGTCCGGTTCCAATCCTTATTGCAAACAGAGCGGTTAGCATTGACGTACATAGACATAACGGCTTATATATGAATTTTTCTTTGTCTTATTACAACAGTGTTTTGCAAATCTCCGCCGGTCATTGAAAATGCGGTAAACAACGCGTTCTCCGACCAACAGACTTTCGACGTCGGGTCCGAAGTTGAATATCAGTGCAAGGATGGATTTTCTATGAGAGGATTCGCCAAAGCTAAGTGTTTGGCTATGGACATATCTGCCTCGTGGTACGGGCCCGAAATCACATGTGAACGTGAGTATATGAGTCAATGTTTGCATGGATAAAAGATACAATGTCGATTACAAATATTGTGTAATTAAAGGGATTGCATGCAGTCTGTGTTTAAGGAGTTTTGTATAGGCAATATTTAAAAAAAAATTGTTTTTAATCAATTTCGACTATGTCAATTAATTTACCGGTTAATTTGTATAAGCTCCAAGGTGTTATTTTCAATTAAAATCATTTTGCTATGAGTAAAAGCCATTTTGGTTTATTTTGGACCAAAACGCCAGACAAAATGTCGACTACATAGGTTGGTCAAATTTCAATTCTGTTAAGAGATTCGAGTTCTTTGGCTGATTTACTACGTTATGTAAGAAACCGGTTTTCATTTTTTCAGAATTTCATTTTGTTGTAATTAAATAACTTAAATTTGCAATTTTTTTCAATACTAAAACCCAATTTTTTTACATAAAAATAGCAAAAAATCAAAAATCTGTTCCCTACATAACCTAGTGAAGTTACCATCGAACTCGTATATCTTAACAGAATTGACATCGGATCATTCTAAGTAGACTACATTTTGTCTGGCTTTTTGGTCTAAAACGTTAAAAAACAGACCACATGCAATCCCCTTAAGTAATTATAGGGTAGTTTACAAAATTCCAAAAGTCACAGCAATTACAGCCGAATATTGTAATATGACGTGTGGCAAACAAAAAACAATATTTAGAAAACTAATTAGAATATTCTAATGTAAATAACAATACTGACCAAAACACATTATTAAAAATAATTATTCTACAACATGTATTAATTAAAAGTGTAGGCGAGGAAAGAGGTCAACGCAGAACCTTTTTTACGTGATGTATATAATATACATCTGCTCTACTATATACCCTTGTCTAAATTTAATTATTATTATTTATTTTGAAAATTACTTCTTTAAAGCGGACAATCGACCATTCGTTATTTTCTAGTGACCATTTTCATAGAAATGGCTAAATATTTTAAAACATATGTTTATACCAAAGGATTGTACAAATTACCCTGAGACATCTTACATCAATATATGATTATTTCTTTACTCTGCGGTACCCTATAAGGATGTCTTAAGCTAATTACCTGCATATTTACTTTGTTCGGCAAATAAGCAAGGACTTGTGGATCTCCGCCTGTAATCGCAAACGGATGGCATCAAGGCGAATGCTCAGATTTTGGCTGTCGGGTGTTCTACAAGTGTGCTGATCAATACGAACTAATTGGGAAATCGGAACGCCTTTGTCACTCTGACGGATATTGGGTGCCAAAAGATCCACCGTCATGCGTGCGTAAGTACTTTAATTCTGAGTCGAAGTGGGTGTTCTCTACCAACCAGTGGCGATTTGTAGTCGTCGTCAAAATTATCATCTACCTACTTAAAAATTAACAATCGAAAGTGTTCATCTGTGTCGGTTTAAATAGTTATACATAGAGCAGTTAACAAAATTACATATTTTAATCCTGGCCCTTATTAATATAATTAATAATATTCAACTGGCATAAACCATTTAACACTATGCAAAATAGGTATTAAGCAGCTACATAATATACTCTTTCAAGTTGTTATTACTCGAATTGAGGTATTTTTTTTTATGGTCGTGAGCCGGCCAAAAAAAACTTTATATCCGTTCGGTTACTCTTTGCCGTTGTTTCGCGTGTGTTGTGGTTACAGCGGTAGACTGCGGCCCTCCGGAGAACCCGTTCAACGGGAACGCGGTGTTTACATCTACTTCTTACAATTCAGTTGTATCTTACGAGTGCAAGTTCGGCAGCTTGTTGACTGGAGAGCCGACCAGAAGATGTGGTGCGGACGGCAAATGGTCAGGCACTACGCCAACATGTCAAGGTAATTGGACCTATATAAGGGATAACAAAACAACACTCGAATTGGCGCAAAGGTCAAATAATTATAAATAGTCGATTTTCAAATATTATGTATAATTATAGTGATTAAAGTGCATTATAATGCATACAATTCGACGATATAGGTATTATATATGTCGCCCTTCAACAACATCATCATCAGCTTAACAGGCCCCTTAGCATGATATGATGATGGTTGCCCTTATACATATTATATAAAATAACTCAGAGAGTCCTGCGTTGATTCCTCTTCATAAAATATCACAGTCATAGGGTGAGCATAACGGTTCTAGGTCATTTTATTATTTGATCACTTGCACACTATATTGACCGCATGTTAATATGGAGTTACAATAAACCCACACTCGAGGAAAGTTTTCAAAATCTTTACGGGCAAATACCTTCCAGAAACGATTTGCATTAAACTTTCGCTAAGAATATTTAAACTTGATTTATTTTGTTGAACAATAAAAATCAAACACAATAATGTAACGATAGAGATAGATTGCGGATCTCCGGGAGAGCTGCATAACGGTTGGCTAGAGAACACCGAGAGCGGAACTGGCCTAGGGGCGACCATTATTTATCGGTGTCAAGACGGAATGCTTCTTGTAGGGAACTCTTCGACGGTTTGCCTTGCCGACGGGAATTGGCGTTATCCACCACCACTATGCTTAGGTAAGTGACATAAATTGTATAGATACATCAAAACATCCCTGACCTTGCCTACCTACGGATGATTTACAGCTCCCTGTGTCGTACCAGTCATCCAACATGGCGGCGTGAACATAAGCTTGCCGAACGGTACCATTCCCGTTCATCGGAAACCGGGTTTTCCTGTTTTGGCCAAACACGGCGATAAGCTGATTGTGAAATGTGACGAAAAATACGAACCAGAAGGCGGAAACAGCACTCTCGCGGCGTGTAACAACGGCACTTGGACGTTTATACCGAAATGCGAACCAGGCAAGTAAATTATATTGCCATATATTATATTGTAACTCTTATGAAATCTTGGTGTTTTTCTATAATGCATGCAAACTAACTCCGTTCGCCGAGAGAACGGGAGTGCGCAGAAAACAAAACGCGTTTATATGCGCAGGCGCATACGACAGTAACAGGTTTCTATTTCTGCGCACATCTAGTCTCTCGACGAATTGGGTATAGGCCATAAAAATAAATATAGTACCCGTGGGTTCGATACAAACCACAAAGTAGTTAACATACCGCCAAAAGGTGCACACGATAATCAATATTGGTTGTATTATTATTTTAGCGCATTGCAAGCGTCTACCAAAGATTCCAAAAAACGGAATAGTCTTGGCACCGTACCTAGAACACGGTTCCAAAGCAAAATTTGCATGCAAAGACGGGTACGTGATGAATGGAAGCCATATCACAGAATGCCAGTACGGAAATTGGTCCGGAAAAACTCCAAAATGCGAAGAAGGTTTTTACCTTTTGAAAAATAATTTTTGAATTATAACTTAATAATTTTATATGTATTTTTTTAGTCTATTGCCCTTTTCCTGGTTATATACAGCACGGTAAAGTCTTACTAGTAGGCAGCATGGGCGTTTATGATTATAGACCGTACGTGAAAAAGGTTAAAAACAACAAGCAGATTGTATTCGAATGCGACAAAGAATATACACTTGAAACAGGACCAGTGGGCGCGACGTGCATTGACGGAAAGTGGTGTCCCGAAATTTTGCCAAAGTAAAATTTAATAATATTATATCACTCGTTTAATAATACATATACCTCATTTTAGGCTTACATTTTATTTTTTTAATTACCACCATGATATTAGTTAATATGTCGAGTGGTTTTGTTATTCATTAATATTATGAATTTTACTTATTACTTTGATTTTACTTTATTTTCAAGATGTATGCCGTTGATTCATCCAAAGCTAAGGCTAAGTAGATCTATTAAAAACGATACCGAATGCAATGATGACGAACCAGCAACCGAAGAAACCAACTATTCCTTGATAACAAATGCCATAGAGACTATCAAAAGCTGGTGGACAAGAAGCAAACGTGCGCTTTCGGCACAAAACCAACAGGTCATGAAAGCAAAACAGACATCTAATAAAGACCAGGCAGCTAAAAGTCCAGGTGCCGGGAGATCTAGAGGTCGCGAATCAGGAGATACCATTTTCAAGGATTATGACGGCGAAGAAGTTAACGCAACGGTAACGGCAACGGGAGAAAAAAATATCCACAAAATTTCTAAAGGAAAAGGCAAACACCTCAAACGAAAAGGTTTGCTCTTCTACAAAATTAATATTTTGTTTTTATATTTTTCGGCTATACGGTTTAAAAATGTTCAAGATATTTTACCAGCACATTGTATTGTTTTCAGTTGGCCCTTGTGAACCGTTATCCAACAATACATTTACATCGTTTGAAGTTTTAAAGTTAGGAAAACATGGAAATGTGACGCATTCACACGGTACTATTATCAAAGTAACGTGCAAAGATGGATACCATTCAAATGTTATCAACAATACAGCAAAATGTTGGAGGACGCACTGGAAGCCTGCAAAACCAGATTGCAAACTCAGTATGCTAATATATGAACGCTAACGATTAGTTTTATATACTTAAGTACATTTATTCGTAAAATGCAAATCTTTAGAACCTTGTTTGATTCCTTACCCGGGAAACGGATACTATAGTAAAGTTGAACCCACATACGTCAATGTATCCGAGAATGCAGAAATCGTAAACGGAGAAGTGTTGGTGGTAACATGTCTTCAGGGATTCAACTTGAAAGGTCCGTCTAGGATTACTTGCATGAAAGGCGAATGGGATGTTGGCAGTGCTATTCCTGAATGCACACCCGGTAAGAGACCGCGAACGAGTATAAAATGTGTTTGTAAAACCCTCTTGTGCGTTCTTAACAACATAAAATTGTATTTCAGCTCCATGCGAACTGCCGGCAATAAATCACGGACAATATTTACTGGGATACAGAGCTGGTCTTACAATAGCTAACGGTTCATTCGTGACATTCCAATGCGATCCAGAATTCATAAAGACTACATCTGTTTCCATAGAATGCGTGTTGGGTCGTTTGGTCCCCAAGTTGCCTTCTTGCAAAAGAGGTAATTATAAAAATAACCTCCTTGAGCGTTTTTTTTTTAATTTAAAATTTTCCCAGACGGCGGACTATTCATAACCGGTGCCGATATTCTAAAAAAAAGCGAATTGGGCACGATTGACCTCTTGTCTGGACTTCGAGGATCGTGTGGACCCCCCGAATCCGTTCAAGGTTCATTAGTTTTCAGAAATGGCGAATTACTAAAAGAAGCTGAAAAAAGGTAATCGCTCAATACTATAGTAGATAAATAAAATACGTAATTAAATAATTATCGTTTTAGTTTTCCGGACGGAACTGAAATAACGTTTAACTGCATTGGGAATATAATTGGTGAAAAAGTTACATGGCGAATAAGATGCGAAGACGGAAACTGGATCGGGAGACCATTGAATTGCAGTATGATTTTAAGAGTTAATGGACTTGAGCACTTGAAATAATGTTTATTTTTAAATTAAGTTCCGACAAAACCAGTTGAAGAAACCAATTCGACATCAGACAATACGACTTGTATGTTTAGAAACAGTGAGCCGAATGTCATAACGTTTATCGGAGACTCTATGATTACCAACGAATTGACAGAATTCAACGCTGGAACCGTTTTGGTGACAAATTTATTATATAATTAAATATCAGAAACCCATTAAAGTATTTAATGTAGGTTTATAACTCACAATCTAATATCATTAAAGGTGTCTAGATGCTCCGACATCGGAAAGTATGCAATGGAAGGATCAAACAAACGAGTCTGCATCAATGGCGAATGGTCTGGCCAACGTCCAGTTTGCTTTGGTTTGAACCAGGAAAACGATTATGCGTGTACGTTTAATAATTAATAATTCACCTCTATAACGCATACCAATTTATTATTGTTCGTTATTTGTATTTTTAATCATACATGTTCATAATTAGTCTTAAATAAATAATAAATAGTATGTAAATAGTAATATAAGTAGTAATATTAAAAAAAAATTTGTCGTTTCTAAAGTGGAAAAACCACCAACCATACTATTCCGGCATCAGTTGGGTCCTATAGCTCAAAGCAATGAAGGAAAACTAGTCGTGTACCCGGGAACGATATTGCACATGGAGTGTTTATGGATAAAGCGTTTCGGTACTCCAAAATGGAATATCAGCCATTCATTTCGGTATTCTCGGCAAATTGATTTTAGTAAACAAATATTTAACAATTTTTTGTTCATCCAGAAAGTATCCCGAGGGTTGGACAACTGATCCCGGACGAGATCCTGATCTCGAGTACCGTTTAAGCATTTACCATGCGAGCAGAGACGATTCAGGCGTGTTTTCGTGTATTACTCCAACTAGGCACATGCATTCCGTCGAAATAATAGTGAAAGGTTAGTATATGCTATAATATACGTGTTGTTCAGACTAAATTATATTATTAACAATAACATTAGCCGTGCACTGTCCGTCTATACCGTTGAAACGGAGTTTGACCATCAGCACTCAAAATACAAAGCTCAATGCGCGCGTAAAGTTTACTTGCGCTAAAGGGAACAACTTAATGGGCGCCTCAGAAGTAGTTTGTCTGCCTTCGGGAAACTGGAGTGATCCCATTCCGTCGTGTGAGAGTAAGTGTTAGAAATGAAATAGTTTTGCCCCCGTTTTCTTCACTTAAAAACGTCAATTTGTTTCCAGTAATTGAATGCGATGAAATCGAAAACCTAACCGACCCTAATTTGCGGGTGGCCGTACTTAGCCGGCAGGTCGGCGGGGAAATCATGTTTAGCTGCATGCAAGGATTTGGACTGACCGGCCCGACACATTCCATCTGCCTACCGACCGGAGAATGGGAACAACCGTTTCCGACATGCGCAGGTCTATAAATCGAACAGTTAATTTGTACTTTTATTACTAGACAGCTGATGTGTTAATAGGAAACGATTACAACACATTATTAACCGATACTCAGTGACTTCGAAATAATGATATTATAACCTCTCGAATAAGTTGTTTTGGGCCCTGGTGGTGTGTATGATTGGTATTATGTTGTAGCTGTCACTTGCCCTTGGCCAGGAGACCCGCCGCATGGTTACTTGGCCGTCACACAAAACTCCTACAGACCGGGCGAACGAGTATCCGTCAACTGCGAACCGTACTACGTGCTGGACGGTCAACCGAATCTGATTTGCCAAGATGACGGCAACTGGTCAGCGCCACTGCCAACTTGTAAGTGGGGGGCGGTTATTTTTTTTTTTTTTGTAGCGACTTCGAACAAGTGCTGCTCACACGGGTCTCCTGGCCATCGCGACTCTGCCCATGTATGAGTGTATTTGTTTGTTAATTTCGAAGTCGCTTTGCAATGTCTACCACTAGGATAATGTTTATATTGTCCAACGGTTTCTTATTGTTTTAGGTGTTCAAGCCTGTCCGTACCCGGGCACGGTCATCCGCGGTCGAATGTCCACGGTTAAGTTCTACTACGCCATCGGAGACGTCATCACGTTCAGCTGCGACGACAACTTTCACCTTAAAGGCGCTTCAGTGTTGAAATGCTTAAAGTATGGCAAATGGTCCAATTCTATACCGACTTGCGTGCACAAGAACGAAACGTTGCTGGCGGTTTAACTTTAGATCTGCCGTCGTAAAATATATTCACTATTGTCTTATAGGATCTCCTGGTAACTGTTAACTTCCTCGTCGTCTAGACAAGTATATACCGTAGTATCGACAATAATACTAGGTTCAGTATCTAGATTATATCATTTCAATAATATTATAAAAAATTATTGGCGAGATATTAATATGAATAATATACAATGTTAGTGTATTAGTGTTGTTATTTCCACTAGAACTATTGATTCATACATTAATATACCTATTATGTATTTATAATTAAAATAACAGTTATTTCATATTCATACGTTAAAGCATTATTATGTAGTATAGTTTTCCAGTGTTTATGTGAATGCATAAATAATATGCTAGCTACGTACTTAACTATGCATATTATATTATATTTATGTGCTATAAAAGTATAATTAAGGTAATATAAGTTGTCATTACTATAGTAACTCGTATTATTTGCTATTTTTTCTGTTAACCCTAGTTCGTTAAATTTACTACCCTGTCCGTATATTCGTGTATTTTATTCTAAATTTTTATCCTTTCACTTTTTTAATTATATTTATCTATTTGCTCCACTCATCTTAATCTTAAAATATTCATTACTGCGCCAATCTCCTATCTATTATATGTTTTAATCCTTGATCGCAATTTTCTTAGCTACCTACTACACAATATTCTTAGTTTGAATTTTGTTAAATTTTTTGTTTAATATTACAAAATGCATTTGATAGTTTAATAATATATTATTCTATCACGAACTCTACAGAAATTTCTATTCAACCCGACTGATAATGTTTTTCTCTAAACCTTTATATCATTTAGATTGCATATGAAACATAATATAGGAAAAAAAAATAGTCAATATTTGTATGGTATGTTACTATACAATATGATGGTATTTTGAATGATGCAATTTGTAATGTGTATTAATTGCACTTAAACTACTGGGTACTAAAGATAAAATATTTTTAAGTTACATAGTAGTAATTGATATATTACCAAGTGATGGCAAAAAATATAATAACAATTCAATTGTACAATTGTAACTATAATTATTATTTACACATATAATAGAAAGCTTCGAAATTCGTACAAACATTATGGTGAATAGCATTTAGTTACTTATAGGCGTACGGCTGTTACAAAGTGAAAACTAAAACGTAAGTTGTTAGAAAGATTAACCGGGAAAAACTTTTCACACGTAACACATAAATACACTTAATCATTTTAAGTAACGTTTCTGTGCTATAGTTGATACTATAAGTATAGTTTTGCGGGATTTTCAGATGAAACATTATACCGTGGGCGACTAAAAGGTACTTTAAACTTTTGGAAGAGAAACTCTAACCGCTAACCAACAGCTCTGTATACCTATTTATGTATTTTTAAGTGACCGCATATATTATAATATAAGGTTGAGAGCATTTTGTATGGAATAGCTTCAAAATCTTCCTCAGCTGAAATGAATAAACTTGTAAAGATTTAAATATTATACTATAAAATTATTAAAGCTACGTTTTCTAATCAACATTAAGGATGAGATGATGATACGTTTAAGTATATATATATATATATTTAATATTTATGTATGTTTACATTGGACATATTTTGCGATCATAGTCTCATAAAAATAAAACACTAAACACAGTTTCGACAACGTGGTGTTTTGCTTATTGTAATAGACGTTGAAGGTTATTTTATCAAAGTATTGTTTATTAATGTTATCTCTTAATTGTTTTCCATTAATGAAAAAAACACTATTTTTATATTTTAGTTGCAGACACAACTCTTACCCGAGTTACAAATTCGGTTTAAATGACAATATAAGTAATAAGCGGTAAAAGAGGCCGTTCCCTTTTCATTGGTAATCAAATGATTTAAAAATAACTCAAATAAATATCTGTATAATGGCTAATTGAAAATTTCAGAAACTTGAGTTTTGTAAGAACATAACATTTTTTACGACGTAAAAAACTTTAATATCACGCCGATACAGTACGAAGGCTATAAAAAATACACCTTAAAAAAACAACACTAAAAAATTAATAAAATACTTTAGACAAAATCTACTTAGTTTTCAGTTAGTTAACACTTTACTATTGGTAATGGAAGGTGATTTAGTCGTACCATTCAACGTATACGACAGATATGTATAATTGCATACAAGTAGGTATAACATTATTTTATTGAACAAAAACATGATCCGTGTTTGCTAATTTCACACTGATGGATTTTTTATTGCTTTTGACTATATCGTTTAGTAAAGGCATTCCCGAAAAAATAAACCTTGAAATATTTGGGCTATGCATCATAATTGAAACTTGAAAAACTATTTTTTTTTAAGGGTGATTGTTTTAATGGTCACAAATATGGCGGGCGGGGGGAAACTTAAGAAACAATTATTTCTTTTAGCTATATTTATTTTTTATAAAAATTGTGTTGTGGACAAATGGAAATATACCAAAAAAAAAAAAAAAAAATGAAATCCCTATTGGTGGTGTGTTATGTTTATGGTGTTTAATGCATTCTCGACTACAGCTGCATAACGCACTTTACCATCTGTCGGTACAAATGTATTTCTATTAGTATAGGCGCCATTTGATAGATGGCACTGTGCCTTTTTATATTAAAAATCAGTCGGCCGAGAGTACTTTGAACGTCATAGGAACTAATATTGCAATATCAATTTAATAATTATTAAAAACGTACTTAGTTCTCTGGTTAATTTTCTTAATACTTGACTATAAACGACTATATTCCGTAAGTGTACTAGACGATTGTTAAAATCAACGATAACATTCTTAAATACATTTGTCAATAGATAAAACTAAAACTTAAGTAAAAAAAAAAACTTCAACGACGTAATATATTATTATTATACATACACAGTGGTAAATGATAATTTAAAAAACACTGAAATCAATTGTTTGTCTAGTACCCATTTTTCTGTTTTAACCTAAGTGTTTATAGAACTGGGTTGTATGAAATTTACTGTTTTAGCAAAAAGTAAAACCATGTTACATGCCCATTAAAATGTTGTAATGTATATTCGCCTTATTCGTTTTCTACTTTATCTTTCTTAATGTTAATATTAATATCCTTAATCTTCGTATACACACTTCCATATCATATTACATTGACTATCAACACCCGCACCTTCCTCCTTGTGATGCTAGCTTAAAAACTTTTACTTATTTTTCTTTGGTCTATTTTGTCCTTAGACATTTAATAAAATTAATATCATAGACTATAAAAGTAGTCATAACAGTACAAAATGGAAAATGGAAATACCCACTGACTGCTCTAGATGGTCTCTATAATTCGACCATTAATAAATTAATATTGTTTTACAAGAAAAAAATCTTTTTTAAACTAAAAATGAACAAAACAAATATTTAACTATAAAATTTGTTACTCGCAGTCAGACTTATTTATCGTAAAATGTGCCAATAATAACGAACAATAATAACAATCTACGAACGTTTTAAAATAAAAACAATAATCACAAATCTCGCGAAGAACGAGTTGATAAATGGTGAAATATTTGTCTACAAATTACTAACGGATGTACGATGTACACATTACATAATTTTTTAGTAAGCTATAGCCTATACGTATTAGAAAAAAATATTACCACAGTAGTTCAAAATGTTTACTTCGGGAACAGGTTGCGATGAAAAAACCTAAAAAATAATTGAAGCCTTTTTAGATTAGGGTACTAAGTAAGAAAAAATGTCCTGCAAATCTGGAGACAAATGTTGAACAATTTGATGTTATAGTTTAATATTTGTAGGTCATTTATTTTACAAACAAAAACAATACAGTTTAGAGTGCTATTAATTTGAAGTTTGAATAAACAGCGGTTTTAAGGATTTTACATTAGAACATTAACTGTACCCATTAACTGTAAAAATTGAATCGCACACCTAATATCTTCCACCATCACTATTGGCGTATTTTATGGCCGTACATTCATAGTGACGTATTCAATGCATATTATAATGTGTTTATGTAAGCACTTATTCAATTTACAGCCCATATTCAAACCTTGATTTTTAAAATAGGTAGGTACCAATAAAAAAAAAATGAAATAAAACTTGAAATGCATTATCTAACGAGATAATAGCGTAAACTGTATGAAGTATCGCACGAATAATCAGCGCTTTAAATATTATAATATTTGTAAATTGTTTTAACTTAGGTTCATAGTTCAAGGATGAAATGAATAGGTACTCTCGTTCAATTGCGTCATTTATAACATTATCGTATGAACAAATTAAAACTAAACGAAATAATGCAAAAAAAAAAGGAGCAGTGTTATATTTTTATTTACATACAATTGCCTTAATAAATAAAATCAATAATTATTTTCAACAAATAATCAAACGACATTTTGTCGAATCTCATTTCTTTTTTTTTTTACACTAAACAAAAAAAATGCATAACTAAATAACGTTAAGATGTTCTCTTTTAGTCGTGTAGGCTTAACAAAAAAAAAAAAACTTAAAAATTAGTTAAATAAAAATAATAATAATATTGTACAACGTAATAATAATAATATTATGAATCGGAGTACAATTAAGTAAAACAATTAACAATATCATTTGATTTCGTATTTTATTTTGTTTTTTAATTCTTATACATATTCGATGGGATTACGGTAGTTTAGGTACAACTGTATACAATATCTAGACATTTTTAATTTAACAGACAATGCCTATTCAGTCGTGTACTGGTTTTGCTCCTCATTCTTGGGACATCATACTGTATTGTGCTAACTATATTTTACAGCTGTGTTAAAAATTACATTATAAGTTTAAGCTCAATATGTGGAACACGGCAATATACCTACAATAAATTAAAAACCAACATAGAAAATGATGTTGAGCTACACATGATTGGCGTAAAACATATTTTTGTATTAACTATAAATACATTTGAATGTGAAATTGGTCAAATCGCTTTTGATCAATGCCGAACATATGTTAATTTTTGGAAGAATTATATTCCTATTTAAAGGTTGTATGACGTGAGTGATTCCGTTTGAAATTTGTATAGTATATTTGCTCAGTTAGTAATTAACTTTATAGTAATTACCATTATTACAATAAATTATCATCGTTATTAAAATAATAACTTTTAATTTTATTCCTATAAAGGCGAGCAACTCCCGATGGAGTATGACGAATCAATAGGCGTTTGTATTTGCAATTGTTTAGGGTTTTCATTAACTACCGTTTCCTCTCTTTTCTTGTCGATTTTTCTTTGTTTGGCCCGACGGTTTTGAAACCATATCTTCACCTACAAAAAAAAAAACCATAACTGATTACATTATGCTCATTATATACAAAATAAACACTGTAGTATATGAAAAAAAAACACGTTACATATTTTTTTTATGACTCCTCAAAATGTTAAGCTTTGATGTGGAGCTGGTATTGTTTTTACAATGAAATATTCTTTAGTAATAATACTAACGATAATCGTGGACAAATAAAAAAAAATACACCCCCTTTCCCCTTGAAAATACCCCGATAGCTTAAGGTCTGAAAATTAGGTTATATTGGGACATACAAAATTTTCTCAAAAATCTTTAGACGAACTTTTTTTTTATTAAGAAAAAAACCAAAAGGTGTTGTACAGTGCGTTAAGTGTTAGAGTTATACAACAATGCATTACAAAATCTGCAGTCCAATGCAGTATTTTTGTAGCGTCCAATAGATTGATTTTAAGTAAGGTATTATAGGCGTTAAGTTATGTTAACAGCTTAAACTATAATTTTACAAATGCAAAAATATAAAAATAAAAAATATTAGTCTTATGCTATTAAGTTTTGACAATATGTCTATTACGGACTATTTGAAAACAGATAGCTCACTCGGCTTATAAACAAAAAAACCATGACGTCACATGACTGAAAATGAAATCAGTAATGTCATAACAATATCAGAGATTAGATCAAAATAAGTTATTAAATCTGTCATGATATAGTCAGTTATCATTTAAACTGTAAGATTCATAAGGAGTTTATACAATTATATTGTAAAATAATTGCACAATAATTTATACTAATTCGTGGGGCTACACTGATATCTTCGCGACTGATTGATAGTCTTTTTTAAAATGTCAATTTTTTCGGCGGAGTGAGCTATCTGTTTTCATTAAGTAGTTAGGAATTTATTACCAATATTTATCGAATTTGAATATTATTTCTAAGTAATTAATTATAAGCTAATTATAATGTAGTGAATTTTAGATAAGGTATGAACGATGCCCGATGGTAATATTGGCATTTAACCTTAGTAATTGAACAATTTGTTGTCTAAATTTTTATGAAGTCGAAGTAAAAGATCAATAAATCCTTAACATCAATATAATTGAAATAATTTTTATTACGGTTTACTTCTTACATTTATAATCACACCTTGACTCTTTTAACAAAGCCATTTTAATCACATAGTTACATACACTATATTATGTTTTACTTAGAAACCGTATTTTGATTTTTGACCGACGTGTACGGTAGTTTTAGTCATCTAAGGGTTAGTTTGTTTTAAAAAATTTAAGTATAATTAAATAATCTATAAGAGTAGAAAGTATTGATGTGTATAAATGTATTGATTGTACACATATATACTTTGTTAATTGAATCAATTAAAACATTTATGACATAAAAGTACACTTACTTGTCGTTCAGACAAACTCAGCATTTTGGATAGCTCGGTTTTCCTTGTAATAGTAATGTACCGGTTGAAATGAAACTCTTTTTCTAGCTCCAAACGCTGCAAGTCGGTGTACACGACCCTGTACTTGTCCTTAGTCCGTGTTCGGCCTGCATTAAAAAACAAATACATTTGGTTAAATGCACGACTAGTAATGATTATTAGAAGATATTTATTACCACTTTTGATATCGATTCGTTTATCGGCTACTCAAATAATATTATAAGACAAAGGTGATAAATTAGTGCTACAATTTCCATGTCGCGAGGTGTGTTAAGTACTATATGACATTTTTATTGTCTACGGATGGTTAATTCAAACATCAACTCAATAAATAAACGTTACACATTTAATTAATCGTCAGATCTTCTGAGATTTTTAAGACGCTTTTCATAAAATCAACATAAAAAAAAAATCTTTTAATAAAAGGAGACTATAATGATAATATTTTGGAGTGATTAATAACCCTAACTCTATGAATGAACAATATTAAAATTAATTTTTTTTTATTATAATAGAAAAAATGGCGGTCAATATTTAATCGATAGTTATTTTTTTTAAACATTGAATACAATAATAATATGTAATTGTTGAGCCATTATATTATCTAATAAAGGCTATTATAAAAGAAAAAAATGAACTACGATTGAAAACAATTATTATAGTTTTTAGCTTAGTTACAAGTTGTTAATTTTTGCAATTAACCTATGAAGGTAAAAGTAAGGGTTTAACATTTTTGAAGAAATAGGTACCTTAGTATTTGGTAAGCAGACTTATAATATTACAAAACAAAATACTTCATACGATTCAATGTATATGTGTATAAATCGATTTTGTAATAAAATAAATGTTTCATAATACTTTTATGAAAAGACATGGATTTATGGATTTCTGTAGCTTTCCAGGTCTTGTCATCAATTTATTTATCTGTTATTAAAATATTACATACTTTTTTTATAAATAAATTATTTGTAGGTGTAATTTTATCTTAATCAAGCATTGTACTATTGTTAATTATAAAATGTCTAAATAATCCTAATTCCCTAACATAATAAAAAAGAACCCGTTCCCATAAATAGCGATAATCAGGAATAAGTAACATTGTTGTTGTATAAGGACTTATTTCAAAAAGTTGTTATAATTAATGTAGTGGTACATAGTAAAAGTGCTTGTTTTTGTTGTTGTTATTGAGTTTGGAGTAACTAGTAGAATTGAAATCGAAACCAACTTGATATAATATTATTGAGTTTTAAAGTGTTAATCAAAATATATAAGTATTAAATCTTAAATACCTTTTTTATAAGTCACAAAGAAGTGCATAATATAATGATTTTAATCCCTCTATTAAATCGTAATTAAAATAATATATAATTTATATTCAACGTCGTAGTTCATATTTTACAACATTTATTAGACCGTATTATAGTAATACGAAGAACTGGTGGGTTAATTAAATATAATTTAACAAAACATAATTACAATAATAAAATAGGTACTTTTAAATTTTATTTTCTAAGAGAGCGAACGAACTAACACTAAAATATTATTTCAGGACAATTATTGACTCCACAATACATAATGATAATTACTAAAAAAAACCCAACATACACATATAGAAGTCAGAACATATACCTACAATGTTTAAATAATATTTGGGTCGTTCATTGTAGAAGTGGTGTAACTCAACGACGTTAAAAATATACATATTTTTGCTTAATGGTATCACATTTTAGTAAAAAAAGCTCGTTATTTCAAAATTCAATTATAAAGAGATAATTCACTTTTACAAAGACCGACCTCGAAGTACTTATCTAATATAATTATATTCAACGACATTTTTCGCGTTATTCGAGTAAGCGATTATTATTATTTCTAGTTTTATTGAAAAACAATGTATTACCCATATGTATTTCCCAAGTACACTATAATATGCACACTTATTATTGATAGCGTTTCTGTTATCTTATTCCGTCCTCGTACACACCATGCACTTGCACGTTTTCCTATGTCATACCTACTGTTTAACTTGGATGTTTTCTAAGTGTGTGTGTGTGTGTGTATGTATGCGCGCGCGTATAGGATAAGGTTGCCGTGTATAATCCAAAAGCGTTATCTTATATTATACCGCTTGAGTTTTTTTCTTATTATTTTTTTTCTCCTCAAATAAGCCGCCAAACCTCTCGAGATAATTCACGCCGGCTCTGACACACTAGAACGCCGCCTGAGACCCGGTTTACACTGCTGTAGTCGGTACAGCTACTGCACACCTACCTATACTGTGATGATGACAATATTTATTATTAAGATATTAATGAGAGAATAACCGCAATTAACAGGTAACCGGCCAAGAGTCGTTGTAGTCGTTTGATAGCTGTTAAAAAAACACAAAAACGAAATGTCGAAATTTTCTTACAAAAACAATAATTATTCAACCGTGTCCGTGACACAGAAAACTCGAAGTGCTCATAATGTACTAAGACCACACCGGCCGGGCCTACCTATCTCTGCGGTGGTTGTGTGCACCGAGTAGGCAACACCGGCTATATAGGAACGCCATCGATTGGCCAGATACCAATATGGCAGCCATGTATTTTTGTGAGTGCATATATACCTATGTGTGTGTGTGAACAGGTGAATGTTGCACTGTAGAGGTAGGTACATAATATACGCCCCGTACACACGAGTTCGTGATGTTTCCCCTTGTAAACGTGCTTGTGTGAGTGTTTTTTTTTTTTTTAATAACATGTTTCAACAGCTGTCACGCGGGAAAAAAAGCTGCGAGCCGTCGACAAAAATTAAAAAAAAAGGAAGTTAAAAAAAAACATATATACTCTGATGTAGTGAGAGTTGATAGGGAAGATATTGTGTTTTTAGAGGAACCGTCGGTGACGACGAATGGAACTTAACGACTCTCTGGGGATAGGTTGTCGGCCCTCCTTCCCCTCTCCCTTCCGCGACAAACGTGTTAATCTGCTTTACAGGACAATCACAGGACAAAATGGGCAGAGATGTATGTCCAGAGAATAATAAATCAAACAAACGACGAGCAGCTCGGCGAGCAAAAAAAAAAACGCACAGAAAAAACGTTATTAATAATAATATTGTACGAGTCAACCGCTGCAGTGATCGCATGGATGCTCATATTATAATATTACTATTTACTATTGTATTTTCCTATAGAAAATAATTTTTAAAAAATCGTAGACCGCAAAAAAAAAAAAAAAAACGTTTTAGCCGAAGTATGTAAAATAATATTATGTAGGTAGAAAAGAGATAATGTTTTACCGTGAAACGTATATACTCTCACGCGTCATTTAAAATCCCATAGATAAAACTGGTAAACACGGTGCAGCTTACATTTTAGGTTAACCTTTTATTTTTATTCTTCCAGAAAAAATATACTTATCGTGTTGTGGTATGGATACACTATTTAATAACAAACAAAGATTTTTAACCTGAATTTTTATGATGATTTTTAAATTAAAAAATAATTAATATCAAAATACCAGCTAACAGATAATTAGAGATGATCTCTGTTTTTTAAGAAAAATCCGCGCACCAAAGTGTTTACAACAGTTAAATCAGTCATACAGTATTTACCATCCAGTACAATAAAACGATTACATTGAATAACATTTTTATTGCGATAACGTTGTGGGCCAACAATATATTATGTACCTAGTGATAGAAATTATATCAATAATCATATTCTATAGCCTGTTGCTTTTAATTTATAGTATACATCATATAATATACCTAGATGTATTGACCATATTCCACGTGCATTATTATTTATATCTGAATGCAATCTAAAACCAATGCAATTGATTTGATTTACAGAAGATGAAATTGTTTTAATTATCATTTAAAAGCTACCGACTTTTATCTTATTATATGTAATACTACTTTTTATAGTAAGTATATGACTTTTATTTTATTGTTTGACAAAAGCAAATTTAAATGAGTTTTTGTGTTTTTACATTAGTTTTTATAGAATATTGCGCCATAGCTCCAGTTTGCTTTTTGATTTCAACTATGATTTTGTGTGCGTTTGGATATGCCTACGTTTACTTGCCGACAAGAATAGAGTTTTTGTTTTAACAAGATAGCGTTAAAATGATTAATATATTTAAATTTCGGGACTAGGCATTAGAATGATGTTTGTTAGCAATGTAAGAACAACACTGTTGTGGAAATTATAAGAAGCCGTTTTATGTAACGTTTGTTACGAACATTAACAAATATCTTAACATTATACCTACTACAAAAATGATTAGTGACTTGCTTCGAGCAAGGTTATACGCGCATGAAGTGTGCTAAGTGTAAAGACGATGAAGGTTATAGAGATGAATAAATAATTAAATATTACGTCGGCTTACTTCAAAGGATTTTGCTTGCACTTGTTACTCATGAGAGTATTGGAACTTCAAAATCAGTACAATAGCCAGAAACTTACTTTAGGCAAGGGGGACTGAATATTATTCCTCACAACAATACTCTCTCTAGAATTACATTTTTGAATCACTATTTTTATTGGAAATTCACCAATTTATGCTTATCACTATGTATTATTCAAATTATAAAATATAACGGTTTTAAGCAAAATATTTGATTATAGTTATTTGCGAAAGTAATTTAATAGATAACTACAATTACTAATTTATACTGTGGTTAACAAAGCTCGTCTCGCAGTTCAAGAAGTAATAGTTACTTATTTCATAAAAGAGGTTTAGTTGAATAGCGTAGAAATTAATCTGTAAACTATTCATTAAACATTATACATATATACTGTATGCAATCATACAATATATCATCAAACAATATAATTACTATGTAGATCTCAGAGCCGAGATAAAATAGTTAACCAATTATAATTGAAGGGCTGCTATGAACAACGATACTTCCAAAAGTTCAGTATTGCAATTCAAAGTTTCAGAACTTTACTTGCTTTGTCGTCATAGGTATTTTTAAAACTTAAGCTAGCTGGAATCGCGATAGTTTTTTCAGAACTCGACCCCAAGAAGGCGAGGCTAGCTCATTTTTAAGAAAAATTTACTATGATCGTTTACCCGTAGATCTTCGATAATTATTACAACAAGTTATAAAGCCG